TTAGTCAAAAACCCGGCCGTCTTGTATGTTCGTGTCCCACGCTGAGCGAGGCGAACGCAAAAGGAAGGCCTAACGCGGCGTTCATTTACATCCATCTTTTCTTTTTATCATCCCCCGTTTCGCACAACGTGGGCTATAAAACATATCGACTACGCTTCGATCGTCGGCGGTGGCCGGGAGGGGGGGGGGCTTACAGTGCAGCCGGCGTACCAGAGATCCGCACGGTAGTCGTACATCTCCTCAAACAGCACCTCCGGCGCAGGAAACACGCCCCTCACAGCGTCGCTGCTGGGCATACGATCGGTAGTGCGAAACCAGTCGTCAACACCGACGAAGCGCAGGTCTTCCTCGTCCTCATCGATCCAGTCGGACCAGCTGGGCAGGTTGAGGAACTGGCGCGGCATGTGGGCAGTGAGTGGCGCGCCGTCCCTGCGTGCGAGCTCCATCGTGAGGCTCTTACCTCCGAGTGCTTCAAAGAGCGCATCGTCATCTACGAGGTTTCGAATAGTAAACACGAGGTTGGAGGCATTCAGGTCTGGCGCGTGTGCTGCAGGTTAGCTGCCGTTCGGGGGGGAAATCAGGAGAGGGGCGGTTCGAGAAACGGGGAGCAGATAGAGAGGGGTTGCGCAATGATGATATGACTTGGTCGCGATACTTACTTCCTCGAGCGATACCAGCCCCGTGAAACGTAGCCACGCCGCTCAAAATTTGCCGCGTAAGTCTCAGCACATCCTCCGGGTGGATGCGATCGCACATATCTGTAAAGTACGTGATGAGATTACAGAGAGTCGGACCGAGGAGCTCCATGACTAGGCACAGATGCACGCCGTTGGGACCCTCATGGAAGAAGCTGTCGTAGAGGGCTGGCACCAACTCGGCGGTGTCTTTGCGGCGGCACAGGGCCTTGGTGGCGGCGACTGGCTGCCTTGACGTGCTGAGCTTGGCAATGAGGATCTTGAGTGCGACCCACCGATCGAGGCTGTGTGCATCAAGTCAGCAAACGAAGATGAAGAGAGTTACGGCAAGAGAAAGACACACAGAGAGAGGGTGATGGAGTAAGGAAAAGGGGGCATACAATGCGTCTCTGACCAGCCAGACGGTAGATGAATCGCCCCAGCCGAGTTTGTGCGTAACGACGTATCGACCATCCTTGAAGGTGTCGCCCATGGACACGGGATGGTAGCCGCCCGGCCGATAGCCGGAGTAGCTCTCCCCGTACATAGAGAAGCTGCACGCCGGCGTGAAGACGGATTGCTCTTCGATGTCGGCCTCGGAGAGCGGTGGTGCTTGTGGCGTTTGCAGCCCGCGGCGGCACGAGGACCGGCGCCGTCTTGGAATCTGTAGCATAGCAAAAAGAAATGGCGTAGCAAAGCTGTCAGATCTGTTGATGGCGACGGTGTACTGCAATGTTTGAGTGAATAAAAAGCCGGATGACTGATTTATTAAAGTGAGAGTTAATGTCGGAATCAGGCCCTTATACTTCGACCGATCGTCTTCTGGAGTGGCACGAGCTAGCAGCCTAGTCACAGTGAAGACTGTTTCGATAGCAGAAAGCGATTCCCCAAACACGCTATGTGGAACTTTCTATTTCATTTTCTTCATTTTTCGAGTACCATGGATTTCTGCTAGTTAGTTTGGATGGTCTGGCCTTGAGCTTGGCGTGTGAAGCCAGGGGTCTGTGTGTGGGACGGACGCGATCTCAAATCACGGCCAGAACGCGATAATTTTGCTTTCAACACGTCATAAAATCCACAGTGGCGGTTTTTCGTCTTTCATACACGTATATGTAGCTCTTGAGGATTACAGGGTAATTTATATCAACTCTCAATAATCTGTACAAGAGTGATTATTGCCTGTCAATCACGTGCTACACGCCTATCGTATCGATCGTGCGGGAGCAAGGGACTTACCTTCACATTGCACCAGCATCATTTACCTGCACAGCCTTTTCCATCGCGCGCAATACTACGTCATGTCCGCGTACTAGCAGTTGTACACGGCAAAGTACCCACGCGGCATCACTTAACTGTGACTTTGGCTCGCCCCGGCCAGCGCGACAAATGGCATCGATGGACAGGGCGCCAAACATCAAGGCCAGTGCAAGCGCCGCACCGCGCAAATACAAGGCATCCGACCTCCCCTTGCCCTCGGCGACACGTGCTGCCATAGAGTCACTCGCGCACGCATTCAAAAAGGAGGGCGCGTACGACGACATTCGCAAGCACGTATGGGAAAAGTTTGAAGCGAGCGATTACGAGGCCCAAGTTACCAAGGCGATACTCGAAGTCGCCGAAAAGGAAGTCGAACGAAACCCGCAGCAGCTGCTTACCCTCGACCGACGCAAAGCGGCTGCCCTCATCGATGGCGCGCTCGAGCGCTCCGGCGTCTATCAAAAGGCCGAAGAGGTACTCGGCAAGCTGATCGACGTCGGCACAATCGAGGAGCGCATTCGCGAGATCCGCCGCGCTGAGCTTGGGCCCGAGGCCGCCGAGGCCGAAAGGGTCCGCGGCGCCAAGACCGATGAAGACTATGCCGCCGATACGGCGGCTCGACGAGCGGAACGTGCCCGCATCAGAGACGAGCTACGACTCAAAGAGGAGGCGATTGCGGAGGAGAAGCGCCGCATAAAAAGAGAGGAGGAGAAGAGGGATGAAAGGGAGCGCGAGCTGGCAGAGATCAAACGACAAGTCGAGCGTGACGAGCGCAGACGCAAGCGCGAAACAGACCGCGAGGAACGGGAACGACTTCGAGATTTGGAACGCGATAAACGCCACAAAGAACGCGAGCGCAGAGACAAAGAGCGCGAACTGGAGCGCAAAGACAGAGACATAGACGACGACCGCGATCGAAGCCGTGACCGCGACCGTGACCGCGACCGTGACCGCGACCGTGACCGCGATCGAGACCGAGACCGAGACCGAGATCGCGATCGCGATAGGGATAGAGATCGGGACCGAGTTAGGGACAAGGATCGCCGCCGTGATACAGATAGCCGCCCCAAGGAGAAGGAGCCCAAGGAACTCTCCAAAGAAGAGCTCGAGCGGCTTGAACAAGAAGCTCTGGACGATTTGATCCGCGAGAGTCGCTCCACACGCAGCCGGCCCGAGGTGGAAATTGACTCGGCGTTGGCGCCTCCGCCTCGCAAAACCGCTCCCGCCTCCGCCATTGACCCTATTCGACGCGAATCCGGCCGTGGATCCGTTAGAGGCGATTCCCGGTCCCGCCGCGACAGAGGGGAATCGTCCGCGCCGCGCGATGAGCGACGGGTCAGTCGCAGTGCCTCGCGCGCGCTCGACAAAGACACCGACCGAAGACGAGACAGGAGCAGAGACAGAAGCCGCCGTGATCGCCGCTCAAACTCGCCCCGCCGAGATCGCAGCCGTTCCAAGACGCGCCGAGACAGATCCCGATCGAGGCCCCGTGGCGGCGACAGAGACCGCAGCCGCTCGCGTGCAAAGATGCCGGATAGAAGCCGCTCACGCCGCAGAGACCGCAGCAGGTCGCGTGCCAGGACACCGCCGCCGCGCCGCCGGGAGCGTACCCGCTCGCGCGACAGACGAGACGACCGCAGTGTTCGCCGGGATCGGTCCTACTCGCGCAGTCGGCGCGACGACAGCCGCTCGAGGCGGGACAGAGATCGCAGCAGGAAACGCAGCCGGTCGCGAGACAAGCCTACGGGGGATCGCTACGACCACTACGACCCTCGAGCGGCCGCTGCGCGCTCGCCAGTCCGCCGCCGAAGCAGGAGCCGTGATCGCGACCGTGATCGCGACCGCAGAGACGACAGGGACAGGGACCGGGACCGAGGCCGGGATCATGACCGCCGTAGCCGTTCCCGTTCGACGCATCTGCGCACCGCCTCAGCCACACGAGAGGAGCTCGAGGAGCGCAAGCTCGAAGAGGTCAAGAAGCGCGAGAAGGAGGCCAAGGCGTACCTGGCAGCGCAAAAGGACGCGAGGGCCAAGGGACTGCCCGTGCCTGGCGTCGATGACAGGAGGCGGGATGAGCGTAGGTCGCGCAGTCGCAGCGTCGAGAGGGGCAGCTTTCGCGACCGCGACAGAGACAGGGATCGGGACAGGGACAGAGACAGGGACAGGGACAGGGACAGGGATAGGGACCGTGACAGAGGTCGTGACAGAGATCGTGACAGAGATCGTGACCGAGATCGTGACAGAGATCGTGACCGAGATCGGGATAAAGATCGTGATCAGGATAGAGATCGTGACAGGGACAGAGATAGGGACCGTCGTGACAGACGAGAGCGTAGCACGTCTCGCCGTCGTGATCGACGGGACCGCAGCAGAAGCAGGCGGCGAAGCCGCAGCCCATAGGTCCCAAAACCAGAACAAGTTTTGTCGGCATATCATTATAACAGCGAGTCAAGAGGTCATTTCAGCCAATCCTCCCAGCACACAATGCCCACAAGTGACACTGAGCTGCGGCCCATCTACGTACCAATAAGAACTTGAAGTCCTCCATTTGACAATTTTGGTTGGCGACAAATCCATTTCCCATCTGAGAGCATAAAGTAATTGTTGCGTTGCAAATAACTTCCCTGTCTTGGCTGGAGCGGGCACAGGGCCAGCTCAAACGCCCTGTATACTAATCGACACCGCGAAACTTGTGACTATGCTAAAGCTATGGTGAAAGACTCTTACCTCTCTCTCAGTTCTCTACAGATCACAAGTGCAAGTGCTCCTTGGGCTCAGGGTTGACCTTGACAGACCCCATCATGGCGCGTACCCTGCACCCCTCCGAAGCAGTTGGGCTGCCAGCGAGAGCAAGGCCGAAACCGCGACAGTCCATATTTAGAAGGCAAAGGATCCCGACATCTTTTGTCCCACTCCGTGTTTTAAGGCAAATGTTTCGTTTCGGCAAGTCAATTGAGTTGCCAAAGACACCAACCGCGTTCCGAGTCAAGGCTGCTCTCCTACCAGACAGCTTTGGATTGGCCGCTAAACTGCGTATAGGTTGCAATTCGGAGGGCCGATTCCACTTCCGCTCGGATAACTCAGTGGTAGAGTACGGGATTGCAGCGAGCATGAATCCACGATTCATGGCAAGTCATCCTGAAGTCGCCGGTTCGATCCCGGCTCCGAGCTGTAACGTGTCTTGCATCGTCAGTTTTTTTTTGCTCCTTGTGCGCGAAAGTGGGTGAAGGCGGAGCTGGGGGGGGGCAAGCTGGGCTGATGAGTTGGTGGGCGGGGGGGGGGAGTTGGTGCTTGGCTGCAGTGCGCAACGAGACTGGTTGGTGAGGATGCAGCTGTAAATAGATGCTGGCCGGCCTTCTTCTTTTCTGTCTCTCTCGGAGACGTGTTGCTGGTTCAGAAGAGCCACTGTCGACTTTCTTGTTTTGCTCGAGAGTACTGTGTGCTGCACGGATCGTGTCAAAACCTTGGGGTCATCAAGCTGGGTCGGCTGGCTTCCTTGAATTAGGGGGGATGGAGGAAGCGGTTTGAGAGGTTTGCATGCTTCTGCGCGAATTCAAAGGTCATCAACGCGGAAATTTTTGTATTAAGCAATCTTGCACTTTAAGAAACGGTGAAGTTTGAAAATGAACGCCATCAGAGTAGTACTGTCGTTGTGAGCATCTTTCATCTTTTACACCGCACAAATAGCAAAACGGCACCGCACAAATAGCAATTCTCCATGTATATCGGCTGTGCGACCCACTAGTTAAGTCTTATAAATTGTCTTTAGGAAGTCCAAAGCAAGCTCGGATAACTCAGTGGTAGAGTACGGGATTGCAGCAAAGTGGGTAACCACCAGCAAGTTATCCTGAAGTCGTCGGTTCGATCCCGGCTCCGAGCTTGTCATTTATTTTTGACCATTTTCCCTTTATCAGCTCATTTTGCTCTTTTTTTCTTTTTTCTTCCCGAATTGCCAACTGCCACTTCACTTCACTTATACATCAAAGAACCGAGTGAGCATTTGATGTCTACGCAGCCGTGTAGTAGTATCTCTGATTCGCAAAGTAGATAGATATATATATATATATATACAAGTAGTCTCGAATTTTTTTCCCTCACGCCCTTGCCCAGTTTTAATAGCCAACAAAGATGCCGAGTCAACAAGTTTACCAGCCGATCCATCACCAAGCGATGCTTCTAAACCACCCTGCTTGATATATGCTGCTGCATTTCTCCTCGATTGCAAAACACCCGAGGCGCAATGCCAATCCTTTTTTGCAGCAGATATATGGAACCCAGCAATAACCTGCAAGCCCAGGCTCATGTAGGCGCTGCAAATCTCATGCCGAGCTAATGCGATGCAACTCTACAAAGTCCATCTGCAGCTCACACGACCACCCTTAAAAGATATTGATGCTTTTGACAGAACTTGATGCAGCCAGTCCAATCTTCCATTTCTTTCAATTCCGGCAGCTCTTTCCCCTCCCTCCCTCCCTCCGCAAAAGATCGGCCCGATGAACCTAGGGTATAAAGTTGTCGCTTCCTCTTTACAAGACATGATGCCCAAGTTCGCCGCCCCGTCTTTGAGAGAAAACCTTTGCGTTGCTGCCCCCCCCCCCCCCCCCCCCCCCCCCCCCCCACCCCCC